TATATTTATATTTATATTTATATTTATATTTATGTATTTAAATTTATTTAGATGTATATATAAGGCATCTTCTCAATATAAATTGCTAATTAGTTGCCGTTGGATGCAAGAAATCAGGGATTTTTCAGTTTTGCTCAGATTCACGGGCAGAACTGCCAAGTTTCATTCCTCTTGATTTAAATGCCAGGTTTCCTCCACATTTAGAAAATTTGCTTGCCTTTTTGAAACAGACAGAAACCCGTCCAATCTGGGTATTTTTATAAACTTTCAACTTCCGTTCTTCCCTGCTTTTATACAAGCGCCCTTTGATATTCATCACCTTGTTCTCTAAATAAAATAAAAGAAAGCCAGAAATTCCCATTTCAGCGAAAACTTACAGGAGTGTCCTCACAAATACTAAACTTTGATTTATCAACAAATTACAATTTTTCGTCATTTGCAGCTTTTAACAATTTATTCCTCGACAATCATGGAACTCTTTTTTTTCCTTCAAATGATTAGAAACAGGGAATTTTGCTTTTACCAAAATTCCTTTAAAAAAGAGCCGTAACAAAGGTTTTGATATATTTTCAAATTAACACGGCGCGCGTAACGTCTGAATTTTCAAAGGTGCTGGATTTTTTGTACTGGTTTTACCTCATATAATTTTAAGGAACAGTAAAATTTCCACATTTTGGCTGCATTGCTTTTAATTCGTATTTTGCTGGCATCATTTAAAACTTTTTCATTTATTCATATGATTACTGATTCAGCTTGAGCGGTAAGTTTTGTTCCTCGTTTGTTGCCTCAGATTCTTCATTTTCCGCTTCGTCCTCATCTTCTTCGTCATTGGATTCTTGATCGAATGGGTTTCTATACATGTGCAATGATGAGCCACAAGCCTTTGCTGCCTCAGCCACAGTTTGCTTGCCTACTGATGTTTGTTCTGTAACAACAAGCCAAGTATTAACACTGGATTTTGGTGAGAATAAAGCAAGATTTTACTATTTCACCATTTTACTGTTTTAGTACTGATACACAAATTAAAGCGTAGCATTTTGAAATCCGCTTGCCTCCTGCCTCGCCAAAATGCCCATCTTTGGAAGAAGTGGTAATTATTGAAGTCTGCATTTCGTTTGGTGGCTGTAAGCTTTGATCAGATTGCAAAAGTTGAAGGAATGAATGTACACCTAAATATTTTCTTGTCAAAAATATAAAAGTGTGAGGTAGATTTCCTTCTGCTAGCGTAAATTTACCAAGCGGAGTTGCAGGATTTGTCCTCGTGAGTAGTGGTTCAAAAACTTGTCTGTGCAACGACAAATTTCTCAGATGTTGTTGACTTTCCCGAACATTTACGTATTCCTCCAGTTGTTCTCTAAAAGACAGCCAACAGCAATAGTAAACATTCTGCTGTAAACTGTGTATTTACTAAATCAGTAAAACTTTCTACAGTCGGAAACGTATTTTAAAATACAAATGTATTTAAGTCCAAGATTTTTAGAAAGTTTTCGGGTGTATAATGGTTGCTTTATAAAGGCAAAATAAATGAAAAATACTTCGGCGTCTTATAATCTCTCCAGTACTGGCCTTCTCGTCTGCCAAAGAAAACCATACTTAGTAAGATCAGAAACAGAATGCACATGACGCCCAACATAGGGAACATCTGAAAAAAAGGTCCTGTCGTCTAAAAAATTATTCACTTAAGTTTTTCTGGAAAGAGACGTTGTTCTCGTTAAGCATTTTTAGCATTATCATCCGTACTGTGAATGGTGTATTGGAAAGGGAAAGTCATAAAGTTAAACAAGAGGAGACGGACGAGAAATGAATCCCAACTACTTCTTGTCGTGACTGATAAATCATCAATTTCGAATGGAAGTCTGTCTGGTTTGACTAGTGAAGACTCGTCGACTGATGACGATGGGGCAGTGATTGGTAACTGCTGCGTCTTCTTCATTTCGGAATGCAAAGGGATCACGGGTTGCTGAAAACCGATGGAAAAATTATTATTCTATTTATTTTTTAAGGTTTTTAAATAAAACTTTATATATATTTAGTACATCTAGTGCAGTTTAGTTAGTTGGCAAACTGCTTTTCCATAATAAGAGGCACAAACTCACTGTATTTGTATTAATAACTTACGACTTTGAACTTGCACCAGTCTATATCAAACGTCGGTAGGAAGTCTCTTTGATAGGCTCCGGCTCGTTTACAGTGTTGTGGATTAATTTCTATGCCTTTTGCCAGATTTTCGACTTTGGCATGGAATTCTGGCTTTTGCGTCCCAATTTGTACAAAGGTTCTGAAAAGTGTAAAATAAGAGGAAATATAGTAGAAAAATATCGTATTTATTTGTTTGATTTTGTGCAGTTAAATACAATGCCCTCTTACTTTTTGGTAATTAAACTTGTAATTTTCACTGATTTTTCTAAACTGTTTTTAATAACCTAAGCAAAAATTATTTTTTGTTTGGTGACAAATGTTACTGCGTGCCAGAATAATTAATCGTTGGATGAAGCATATGAAGTTTTCAGCGAAGGCGAAGGGCAGTAAGAGATTATAGTGGTTATATAAAAATTATACGTTGATACTCTTCATAATTGATAAAATCATATGAATTTGCTAAAGCAGCGAGATGTATATGAGGAATTGGTTTTTTATATTGCTGAACTGACCGCATTTTGACCACTTTTGGGTCTTTAAAGGATGTTTTTTTACAAATGCTTGTAGAAAATTTTATGCTTTAATATAAGACAGTTAGAATTATTGATTTTATTCCAGGTAACGGTGCCGTCTTCGACGACGACAATTGCGTTTAGCAGTCCTAAATCACTTTTAAATATGTAGTCTGTTTCCTTACCCTCTAAACTTCACTGCAGTGACTAAGTAATTTCCATAGACAGACTAAAAGTGATCAGAATTATCCGCAGCCGCATAAAGTAATAAAACCTCTAAAAAAAATATTTCGCACCAATTTCAAAAATGAATCCTCTACACTTTTAAGGTGAATTATTAGCTCAAGACAGAAAAGGATTTTCAAAACTTTTCTCCTTCCTCTATCATTTTAACTTAAAAAAAAGTGATGCACTAATCGTGATTCACGAGAAGAACTAGAGGAAACATACCCAAATTTTTGCTTTCCCATAGTGATCAGCTCTTCTGGTGGTGCTGTGACAGCCGGCAGTAAGTTAAATATGTAGGTGAGATTATCTTTGCAAAAGGCATGGATTGACAAAATTAACTGTTTCCGAAGTTCTTGACCATTAGAATGATAAATGAAGTCTTCAGGGTCATAATTTTTAATAAGAATTTGGGCAATCCGTTTTGTGGAGGAGCTGTGTGTTCCTTGAAAGTCATCTTTGAGAATCAAATATAGAGAATTTGTCATTTGATGAGTGAAAATGCACTTCATTTTTGGCCGGCAAAACTTACTAAGTGACACTTCAAGAACTGTTTAATTTTTCATAAAGCTATAAAAAACATCTCACTAGAGGGACCAATGCAACAGGTTTTCACATTGGATTTACTGCTCTTGAAGGCTGAGCAAACAATGTACCGTTACTGACTAATTCTATGGATAGATATCTTTGAGCATGTTGAAAATTATTCTCGTTTCTCACGATAATTTCGATAACCACCAGCTTTGCTGAAGTTACCGGAGTTCCTATTAAATATGCCACTTGCTTGTGCTTTGATCGCATTAAATGTAACCACTGAGGTAATTCAGGCCTGCCCTTCAATGTTGCGGACCATCTTACTGCTGCAACATATTATTCAAAATTTTCTGCAACGGTATTCCACAGCATTTCAGTTTCAGTTCGGGAATACTCAGTATTTCAACTAGTTTAAGTACTTATAAAAGATGAAATCCGTTTTACAATTGACGATTATTACTCAAACAAACAATCCTTTGCTAACCTGGAAAATATGACCTATGACTTCCCTCAAATTCGCTGAAGAATCTGCTGGAATGTAAGTAATGTACAAAAAACTGCCCTTTTTTGGCAATGGTTTTCCACACATTTTTTGATTCATTTTGACCAACTGTGGTAACGACAAATAAAGTGAGAAATGTTGCCTGCCATAAAATAATCATAACAATTCTGCAAAAAGAACAGTGATGAAAACACAAGTTTTCTCAAAACAATTTCACTCAAAGAGACCACGTATTGCGCGGCTTGAAATTCTGAGTAAAAAAATCCACCAGAAGCACACCATGACTCGGATATTTGCGGAAATATAATTAAAAAAAGAAACCGAACTGGTAATTCCAAAATGGGGTGGCAATTTTTTCTGTAGACGCGCACCAAAGCCTAATAGACAGAAATCATGCTGGGAAATATGTACTAAAATCCCTTTTTTCCTTTCTTAAAACAACTAAGGCGCAAGAATGTCACGCTTTTATCCAAAGCAATGATAAATAAATAAACATATATATATATATATATATATATAT